CTCGAAAGCTTCGCGTACGCGACGCGCGATCCCTTTTATGTATCCGTCCACTCTGATCTCGTTACCGGCGAATTTAATTAATCCAATTAAAATATGATTCTATACAAAATCGCGTTACATCACGTGGCGCGTGTGCGAAGTTGAATATGAACCGGGGCGAATGTGTCTCCCGACGAACACGAACAATTTCCACAGGCGATGGAGATTACAACGAATCGGTGGATGAAACGTACGTACACTTTTAATGGGGGGAAACATACCGGACTATCATTCACGTAACAGTTAACAAGCACGTGTTTCTATCCTCGGCGTCGCGTCGCGTCGCGTCGGTTGGAGATGGCACGTTTTGTTTCGACAAAGTTGCTTACCACGAATTCAGTTGCGCACGTTCGAAACAACGTTACGCGTGTTCTCAAAACGGTACCCGATATACGTATGTATTATATATTTTTTATACCGAATTGCTGTTTCGAATTTTATTCGGCGAGAACTGGAAATGAAATAAAAGTAAAGAAGACAGGTGTAAAAGAATGTACCACTCCCGGCGTTCGGTTCTTTAATTTGGAATATATCGCAATATCCAAATGGAACGAATTTTATATTAAACAATTTGCATCCAGTATGATGACTTGCTTACAAACACGGTAGCCTCGCGTATCACGGAAAAGCGACCGCGATATGTGAAAATTATGACTTTTAATTATGAATTATTCATATAACAGGAGCACGCTGTTCAATTATTAATTAATACCGGTGTGCGTGGTACTTTCGCGGAGTCAAACGTTCGTCGAGCGCATGAATACTTTACGTATCGCGTGTATAACCAAACAAATGTATCAACTTTCTCATTCTCTTTTTGAATCCTATACGTTTCATCGGGGCGACGTTCTTCTATTATTCATTTACAGATTCCGAGATCGAAGCCGCGTGGTTAGGCGCGTCTGGGAGAAATCCGAACAGATTCTTCTGGGAAAAACACCCATCGTTCTATTTTAGTTCGTGACGGGCACGGCATGGCATTGAGCAGATTATCGAATAGAGAAAGAACGGTGTCGGTCGTAAATCAGGATTAATTCATAATGAGATTATCATAATAAATCACGACGTCCTCCGCGGTCCGTACCAATTCGTTTGTTCGCGATCAGGTTCGCCGTATTACAACTGACCCACATCCGTTCGAACATATATTCCGGCCAGCTGATAATTGTCGATACTTTCCAATTTTCCGCTGCTTTCGTATTCGACGATAGTGCGCGATTTTCGATTAGTTCGGGCTTTCCAATTGAAACCAACCCCAACGGACGCATAATTGAAATTAACGGCGGGACACATTTTTTTCCTTTCGTCGACCAGCGAAAATGAACGAGGGACAAGGTAAATGGAACTCAATTTGCGGGATAATTAATGTGCGTCGCGCACCAGGCGTTGTCGACGAAACTTTTGCTTTTCTTTTTTTTGTTGGAAAAACGCGTCGAGAATCGATTAAGGATGTATTGGCTATATAGTCAATCCCAAAAGTTTATGCACTTTAGAAACGCATTTTTTTAAAAAAAATCAGACGTCGGAAGAACAATGCTAATAATAAACAACAAAAAAACATTTTCGATTTTTCCGAGATTTTTCCAAGGGGTACCCCTTCAATTTCTTCCAAATT